GCAGTTCAATTTTCAGAGCAGGCATTATCCAGCTACCAGACCATTTGCTTTCAGTGAGGGACAGATTCATCCCTGTTACTCTTCAATGCCTAATTTCCCTGTGCTCTGTCTAGTTAACATGCAGAGAATAAGCCTTTCAACATCTTCCTGTACTTGAGATGTGGGGCAACCATGCTTTTAACAGATACGTCTCTGAGAGATATGAATAGATTCAAGGGATAAATGGGATAAATCTAGGCCCTTGTGCCCTGCTGGAGAAAGAAAATGACAGCAATAAAATGGCAGCATGCCAATTCATCTTTGTTATTTTCAGACACCATTTCCTAACTTTTTGCTAGTTGACCTTTCTCAGATTAAACCAAGGACCATCTTTTGTAATGTTGTCACAAGGGTTTTTATTATCAACTAAAATATTTTAGATTAAATATTTTAATGACCTATACTGCTTGTTGGAGGAGGAATGAGGGCAGGTCAGGTTTCTATGGTTGATATTTATCTTTACTTTTTTGCAAAATTTGTCTGGTTGTCTTCTGGTATCTCACAGACCAACAAGAAAGAAACGCTGGCTTCCATTGCCAGTAGTAAGGTCACAAACTCATAACATTAGCTGCTCTGACTTTACTGTGACGGTACCATAAGGGAAGGAAAATGACATATCAGGGAGATGAATGAATAGATTAAAAAAGGGAAAGGGCAGTGGTTACTTCTGTTTTCTCCCTCTTCACGACTATTTTGCTTAATCTCAAACAGTTCTTGTGCTATATTAATATAGCACAGTATATGAATATTATATACATTATGAATTATTAGCACAATATATATATAAAAATAGCACAATATATGAATATTCTATATTCTTGTGCTTAATCTCAAACAGTTCTTGTGCATATTGTGCTATATAGTGCACTAGGCCTCGAAAAGCAGTGGAGTGATTCACCGTGCAGCAGCCAGCGTGTGAAGAAACGGGGTTGGGTGGTGTTGGACTGTAGATGTGGGCTTTCTGTCTAGTCCTGTCAACGCTTGGCTATGTGAGCTCAGGCAAGTCACTTCTCACTGGCACCTTGATTCTCCTACCTATAAAATCGGGCTGGGCAGGACCCTCCTCACCATAAAACGTTTTGGAGTGAGCAGATGGAAATCCGAGATAAAAGCTTTTATCTATGTGTTTGTTCATGGCTGGAAAGGCATCACTTTGTGCTTGTATCTACCTGCTCCATCATGTACTTGTGTAGGTGATTTCTCAAGGAGTGGAACAAGGAGGAGGCAGTGGGATCCTCTCCATAGAGGACCCTCGCCAGTGGTGGGGTGCCACTGGGGACCCTGCCAGGGGGGCAGCTGCCTGGATGTGTCTCTGCACTGCCAGGGCTGCACCCTGACCAGATGAGGAGGGCACGCAGGAAGCTGGGCCCATGCAGCGCTCCTCGCAAGACCACGTGACACATTATGCATTTCGCCTGTGATTTCGTGATGGATCTTAGTCACGGACTCAGCTGACTGTTTCAAATCCCAGCAAGGTGAACACCTTAGCAGAAAGTTATAGTACCTGTAGTAGGACTACCCAGAAAGTGGAGGGTAGATATTTTCCCTTAGGATATTGTTAAATGCCAAAAAACAAATTCCATTCTGCTTAAAAGCTTTGCTGAATTTTCTGGACTTTATCCTAAACAGAAAAGATATGTCTGGATAGGGTTTTGTTGAATTTTTTTCAAACTGAAAATTATTACAGGAATCAAAATCTACCATTTGTGAGGTAATTTTGCAATGAAAATACTCAGTCAGCACTGGTTAATAGTACTGAGTCAGGTTCTTGTTTTTGCCTGCAGTAGAAACAATACTTACCATTGTGTGTCTGTAGGCTGAGCCCAGACTGAAAGATCTTTTCAAATACTGGTCTTGATCATGTTCTCTGAGATCAGTAGACAGGCCATTTGTATAATTAGACCTCAAGATAGCCATTTTACAGATGAAGAAACTGAGAAAGAAGAATGAAGAAGCTGGCTCACAACTAAAGCAAGTGCCTAGTATCAGAAAGGGAAGCGGGACAAAGCAGTGCTGTTAAGTGAACAATTCTGTCTTCAAACAGCTATTTACTCACTCAAGGACATCCCAGGTGAACTCTGAGGGGTATCCGTTGGTTCCCAGATTTTAGTCACTTTTTTCTGAGGGGACCCTCCATATCTGTATTGACTTGAAGCTATACCATATTTCATGCCTTCTTGTTGGGAACGCCCATTGTCAACAATGGGTCACTTCTACAGTCTAGGCAATGCTGGTTGTCATAATGAGAAATGAGCGCTTAGTTGTGTGTGCGATGGTATATGCCATTGAGAAAAAGTACTTGGGTATATTCCAGTGAATCTCTAGGGATATTGCAGCAGTGATTATTCCACATTAAAAAAAAATGATATGGGTTACTCTGTTTTTGAAAACTTATACATTTTTTCCTCTGTTAAATTGCTTCCTGGTGATGGAAATGTCTGGGATTTTTTTCTACTGCATCTACTTTCCTTTAGCTTGCACACCCCTGAGGTAATTAGTGTAGGTTAAAATTTACATAACTGACTTTGGGGTTTTGCAAATAGGAAAGATGGAAATTTATTCAAGGTGGTGAATAATTCATTTTAAAGCAAGTTTCCTGTTTTTTTTAATCATGTAGAAGATGTATTACAGACTCATAGAGGTTTTCTGAATAGGACCCTAAGCACTGAATTTTTGATATATTTTATTTCTTAGTGTTGGTAAAGAAATATTAACCATGACTCATTGCACTTTTCCTTTTCAATAAGATTTGAATAAACTTAACAAATTTATTAGGTAGATGATAGAGCTGTTTAAAAATTATCATGACATACTGTGAGAAATATTTTACTAAGATCCAGAAAAAGTATTTTTAACTGGTATTCCCATTACCACATTAGAGACAGAGATGGAAAACACAATGCAGTTCATATAGGGAACCACGATTCATATTTTCTTCTGAATATTCATTATTTAATTAACATTAGGAAGATAAACAAGAGGATTGGATAGCTATGGGAGTTTGGTAATATAATCTTTCTCTCTCTCTCTCGCTCTCTTTTTTTTTTTTAAACTTCTCTACTTCTAACTCAATGTAAGCCTGGACTGGTAGTATCTGAAAGTTGTTGTAATCTTATGGCTACTTGATATTTTACATGAAATGAGGTTTTGATTTCCTCTTATTTCTTAGTTTAAGTGCTCACCTCACAAAAATTGCTATCAGTCATAGGCATCACTGAGAACTGGGCTCAAATGTCTATCGAGGACACTCCCGGCCCATGCTGCCTGCCGAGGCTGCCCCGTTGTGTGTGCCACAAGCACGTCCCGGCAGCCCAGCCGCCAGACCTTTCTCATCACACATTGCTCTGCACTTGCGGACTGTTGGAAATGCTACAAGGGGCTTCGAGAGAAAGAAAACCAGTGCCGTCATTTGCGTGGGAGGGAGGAAAATGGGTCTCAGTCTCTGCTCCAGGGTTTCTCAGGGAGCTTCAGCCAGCTGTTAACGTAAGATGCAAGAGTGGTCTGGGGAGTGGAGGGCGAGGGCTAAGTTAATCCAGGAGCAGTGGTGGAGGGAGCGTCTTTTGTGAGAGCACTGCCACTCTAAGAGCAGTAAGGTCTTGGTTTGAGCCAGTTTAGCCATATTACTTTTGTAAGAGTGTATTTGCAGTGCTTGACTGGGACCTGCAGGATTTATTGTACCCATTTGAGGCTCTGCTGGGACAAAAAGCAAGTCATGCTATATTTTAAGGTAACCATGTTGTCTCTGCTTTAATTTTACAGCTAGTACACTAGCAAAAGCTTTGGTAATGTGCTTTAGCAGTCAGCTTTTATACTCTTAAGAATTTTCATCTTGGAAATAGGCAGGGTTCTTTACAAATAATTTGATGCGTTCGTCTTCATCAGAGATTCCTAAGTTCCTTTGAAACCAGACAGACATCTACCTGAAAGTTTGGAGATTTAGAAGAAGGGAGAGACTTCAGCAGCCAGATCTGGAGCTGCCAACAGGGAGTTTTTCTCCATTGACTATTGTATCGTTTCCCTACCAAAACATTTTCCAGTTCTGAAACTTGATGAGGGCAGAAGATGAACATCACTTTACACCATTTACAATACTGTGTGGGATATACAGCAGGAAGCCTCCACGTACATTGGCAGTGGCGTCTGCACATTTTATGCTGGTATCAGGGACACTGGCAGCATGAGAAATATTCTTGAATATTCAGTGAGATCTCTTAACAAAGATCAGGGAGAATAATGTTATTTTCCTAATTCTCCAACTTTCAGCAGCATTATTATTTTCAGATTTTGCACTGAGAGCACAGTCCAAAAAGCTGTGGATGCTGGCTTCTTGGTGGAATGACTTTTCCAGCTTGATGTACAAGAGAAAAATAACTTCAGGCCCTCCAGCTTTGTGCTGGAAAGCTGCAGAACTGCTAGGGGAGAGGACTGCTGATGTAAGTTAGTCTCCTACACATTGCAGCATCCTGAAATGCCATTCTTTCTTACCAAGCATTCAGAGATGACTATGGTGACACAAGGCCTCAAGACTTGGAGCAGATCTAAAGCAGGGCAAGTTGTGGGCTCTCCAGTGGCCTCTAACTAACTTATATGTAAGTATATGTCTCAGCTTGGTGCATGTGCAAACATGCACATATACGTACATATATATCTATGTGTGTGTGTTTGTATATGTACACACACACACACACACACACACACAACTATGTAGGATATTATAAAAATAAGGACTATGGGGTACTACCAAGCAGAGATACACATTGTACAAATCAAGCTTTTTAGCCAGATTAGAACAGTTTCCCTTGAAAATAACGGAGGCTGGGTGGCTGTAATTTCTAATTGTTTCTGAAAACCTTTAACCAGAAGCCCTAAGGCAAACCTTTGGAAAATTGCCTGTTTATGACTTTTATTTCCATGTCCTTCCTGTACCTTTGAAAACAAGCTTTTTTTTTTTTGGCATGTAGGACTCTAAGCACCACAAGGAAGTCTCTTGCCACAACAGACAGAAGTTGCAAGCCAGGATTCATAAGCTCTTTCAAAGGTATGTGAGATAAGGGTTACTTTGTACTTCTATCTAATTTGCTTTCCTTCCAAAGCTCTTTCAGTGCTTTACAGATATTAATGAATGGAGCTTCTCCCAAACAAAGGACCTCAGGCCTAGAAAAATTAAGCCTGTGCTTTTGAAAGCGGCCTCTGTTTTGATTCTTCCATTTTTAGACACCCAGTTTGGGCTGTCATTTTTAAGTGCTACACACAGTACACGTCAAAAGGTGACCAAATGGCTTCTCTCAGCACCCTTCATGCCTGGTCCTGAATTGCTGTTTGACAGTGAAGGGAATATGAATTAGAGCAATGTTTTTGTCATCAGGCTGTACATGACCTTCAGATAAGTACGTACATCAAATTACCTGTAAAGAAATTAATGGAGGAAGTATCTCTCATGAACGCAGCTGATGAAGCTGTGTTCTGCCCTGACAGTTGAGGAGCATGCTGGTGAGCATAGAAGAGACCTAACTTCGCTGAATAAATTACTCACTTCAGTCTAATATCCAGCAAAACGAGAAAAAGGAGAAAAATGGTGCAACCCGAAAAGAGATCAGATGTGGTTATTTAAATGTTTGATGTTCAGTAATGAAAACTGTTTACCTTCATAATTGTGTATTAGCAGCTAATAAAGGCAATAGATACAGTAGTTTAAAAGTAATAAAATCAACAACAAAGTGTATTTAATTTTAAATTGAATTGCAAGCAAATGGGTGTCCTAATGAACCCCTGTGTCAATGTAGCTCTAACCAAATTAAGTGAAATAATTTCCATCAAGAGAAACTAACTAAGTACAAGGTTCCAAACCATTCTTCTTCAGGAGGAAAGTTAACTTCTCAGATGTTTCAGCTCTAAGAATTAGCTAGTGACATTCAAGAAGCATCTTCTGTTCCTTCTAGCTAGGGAAGCTTGACCAAAGTTGACTTGACTACAGCTCAAGGATAAAACTTTAAAGGTAGATGCTGCAGTTCTTGTATTGAGTCCATAGCATTGCTGAATCTTGTCCTTAGTTCTGATTAGTCCTGACCTGGGCAAAATTCCCATTTGTTTTATTGGGACTAATGCCTACACAGAACTTTGAATTGATTTAATTATTTCCTATGAGTTTATATGATTAAATTCTACTGGTATGGGAATCTAGAAGCTGGCTTAGCTATGTACCGGTGGTAATCTTACTGAAATAAATACATTTATATTTCTAAAATTAAAAAAAAAGGAGAAAGACAAGATCTGAGTAGAAACTCATTTGTAGCAATATGCATGGAACCTGGAAACAGAAGAACCTGTTGGAGAGAGAGAAATTTGGACTATTTGCTTGCTAGCTAGCATGTGTGCACATGGCTGGGATGTTAAGTGCGGTTGCAGAGCCTCTGCAAATAGGTGTCTTGATAAAAAGCCATGTTAATTTTACAAGCTGTGGAGGGTTATTCATGTTATCATCTAGCATGCAGAGAAGGAAACATGAATGAAGAAACTGGAACTGAATTTTTCAAAAGCAAGTGCAAAGGAAGCAATCTAAGGAACTTTTGTTGTTGCTTTTTTTTATATAAGAATAAACAGCATGTTTTAGTTTTTTTTTTTTTTGGTGATGGCTATAATATTACCAGAATATAGGCTCTGCCAGGCGCACGGTTCTGCAGCTTAAATATTGCCTGTGTTGTGCATGCCCAAGCTAATCCTGAATTGTAATTGAATCCTGGGCAGTGATTTCTTTTTGGCTCTTCAAGGCTCCTCTTAGCAATTTGCAGGCAGCTCTGTTGACCTCCAAGGTGGCATCCAGCTGGCCCTGGGCTGCAAAGAGCCTACCTGACTTCCAGGTCGCAGGAGCTTTCATGCAGCCACTGCTGCATCTTTCCCCGTGCTCTGCAGCCTGCCCATCTCCTGCTCAATCTCCAGGTCTGGCTGGATCCTCACCAGCATCCGTGTGGCTTGCCAAGCCTTGTCAACCTTTTAAAATGATTGTGGTAGGAACAGCTAAAGTGTTTTTCACACAGCAGGCAGAGCAGGAACTAAGATTTTTTTCAGTGGTTTAAAGCAGCTCAACCATAGGAACCAATGATTTCCAAAAACTTATTTCAGTTTATCATAGCTATCAGTCGGTCCTGAAAGTGTCGATAAAGGCAATGGCTTCCTACTTTATTACTGTTATTCTACAACCTGAGCCCTGATACCTGTCCTGTAAAGACAGAGTTCCTATACTCAGGCAGTGAAACTTTAGTTAATTTTATGTCAACCTGTGGCACAGACTGACAAATAATGGTCATGTTCCTGAGACTGTGACTGCATTTTTCCTATGCCACTTTTTGAAGCCTAGCCATTTCTCTGCTTAGAACACTGTTGTTTCTCCTGGGTCCCCTGCAAGGTTTATGATACATCCAAGGAAAACATCAAACTGTGATGTAGTTCCAAGTGCTTTTCATGTCTGTGTTGTAGTCCATTTCTTTTCAATTCTTCTTCCCTGTTCCCTTTGTAACTACTGCAGAGCAGAAAGTCAACCACTGAAAGCGGATGTGAATGGCTGCAAAGAAGAAATTAGAGGCAAGTTTGATAACCTTGCAGATGCGAGTAACAAACTAAATGGAGCAGCAGGACATTGTGGAAAGGTGAGGTTCTCCATGAGTGCTCTTTTCCTTTATGCAAACTGCTAAACAACCGGATCAGTTCTATTGCACTACTATTTTTTTTTCTTTTCATAGTTTAAGAGGATACAATTTAGTGGGTTTGAAAATATCCTTTCCAGTCGTAGTAACCATATGCTTAAAGAGAACGTCTAAAGCTATTAATGATGAATCGTCTGGGCATGGCTAGAGTTCTTCAAAACAGTATGTCAGTGCTGGCCAAGGAAAGTCTTTCAGAAGGAGATGAGACAGCCATGCCACCATGCAAATGAGACAGGCTTGAAATATGATGAATCTTCTATCTCCTTTTCCTACTCGACTGACACTCGCTTTGAGGAAGGTTGTAAATGCAAGAGAGATTGTGGTATAATTCCTCAGACTGGCGTTTCTGCCCCCCAGTCACTATTCGATTATCTTCCAAATTGCTGTGTTTCAGAGAGATAAAGATTTTTTATGGCTTGCTGACTTGAAACAACCAGAAGAGCCAGAAAAGAGATGGCTAACCGGCCATGCATAGTAATTCCATTGGTAAATGACAAAATCTTTGTTTGTATGACATTTCCAAAATTACTACAGAAGATGAATCTAAAATACAAAATGTCACATTTGGCATGCAAAACTATCACAATATATTTCAGTATAAAATTCATAGAGGCGTTTAATTTAGAATGTGTTTAATAACGAAGTCTGCCTGCATCAGTAATCCTGCCTTGAGGTTTAAAAAGATTGTCTTATTTATTCATATAATGTTAATTTTTTTATATATGATTCAGAAACCAAAAATATTAAGGTTAAATCTTCATTGTTAATTAAGCTTTTCTAATTAAGCTGAAAATAATTGTCATTCAGATTAGTTGTTAAGTATGGTTTGTGTTGAAAAACAAAAGAAGTTTAACAAATTCAACTGTTATTTTAACTGCTTAATTTAATTCCAGAAGCTTTCTATCTATATGGAAATATGCTATCTCTTCCAAAATAAATCCAAGAGAGGATTAAAGAAGAGACTATTAGCTACTGTAGGCTTAAACTGTGAGACTACTGAACCTAGTAGTCAAGTTAGCCATTTGATTCTAAAGTGTGGCATGCATTCTTGTATCACATTAAATTAAAAGAAAAAGACTCTTGCAATAGTGTTTTCTGAAAAAAAATGGAAGAAATGAATTCCTTGGGGAAAAAGAAAATCATAGCTGATTTGAAGCCCTCAATATTTAATTATTGCAGAAGCAGTTTTGTCCATTTAAGTCAACACTGGAGCCAAACTGGGACTCTCTATTATGTGCCTGGCCCTACAGAATGAATTTGGGCAGCACTGAAGCATTTGCAGGTGTATTCAAATGGATCCTATGTCTTTGCTCAGGCAAGACGCCTAAGGATCATACTGCTGTGTCTGTTCCCCTCTACGCTATAAGCTGAGCATAGAAGGAAAGCACCAAAAAGGCATTTCGGCATTTCGGATACACAACACAACATTTATTCCATACTAAACATTCCGTAACTCAGACAACATCTTGTCAACAGCAAGCAGCAGATGTTTCCTTTTGTCTGGACTTGGAATAAAGGTGCCTGTAGGGAGTTGTTATTAAACTCTACACATGTTGCACTTTGATTACTATTTTTAAGAGAATCTGATTATGTGATAATCAGAAGGTGAAAGGATAGTCTGCATATTACACAGTGCTAATAGCCTTGGCAAGACTAATAATTAGTATAAAAACATGGCCTGCCCTGTCTCTCGTTCTGTGCCTGCAGCCTGCTCATCATAGCACCTCTTGTGCCTGTCTTGCAGAGCATACTGTGTTTTTGAAGATGGTGTTTTCCTGTGAATTCTGCCTTATTATTGCAGACAAATGGTTTCTGGTGTCACATTTCAACAAATCCACCCTCCCCTCAAGAATGCAAAACATTTATTATTATTGTTATTATTACGATCTGTCATCTCTCTGACTTTTGACCTCCCTGATTGCAGATCCTCCGTTAACAATAGGTAATTGCAGGTTGAACAAGAAGCATGTTTTCCGCTTATTGGTAGTTGTTTCCTTAAGAAATCTGTTCTGACTAATTGTATGGTGAAAGTCAACTCAACCCAACTCAGTAACTCGGAGCCTTCTCCCTAGGTTGACAGCTCCAAGACACCGCAGCCTATAGAAATTCACGTCAAATGCCTGAGGGGAGTCAAAGATAAGGTACCCAAGGGCCGCTATTCCCTCAGAGTTTCTGTTCTCGGCCGCTTAGGTGGTGACTTACTAGAGTGGCCCAGACTGAAGGAACAGCCCTGGGCCAGAACAACGCTGCCTGTTAGTCACAACGGAAACTTCTACAACACCGAAATCTACTTTGGACAAAGCATCCAAACAGTAAGCAACACTTCTTAAATACGCTGTCTTTGCTTTGAAAGTTAAAACACATCCGTCCTTTCTCCTTCAGGCTTATATATTTAATGCATTCCATCATGTTCATAATTTATTTAATAATTTAAGGTGCAATTTAGGAAGGTGCAATTTTTTTCCCCCTAGGTTAACCCTCATCACTCACTCTAAAAGTGCCAAATATACACTACATCATGGAGTGTTGTCAGCTAATTTTAAATTTTACTTTTATTCTGTCTTATCTATGCAGCTTGTCAGCTATGTAATTTGATTTCGTTAAAGTAGCTTTAGAATAATAAATGAACGAGTGGGTGTATATAAACACATGAATGCCCAAATCCTTCTGTGAGTTTTTAGCTCCATTGACCCCCATTTGCCAAAAAAGCAGCATTTGGATTATTTTGGAAGGAGCCCAAACACTTGAGGCTCTATTCTGTCTTTTGCGACTGAGGCACACATATTTTCCTGCCTAAGCATGCTGTGCGTGGCAGGATTGTTGTGTGTCTGTTGCTTGCTGTTGTAGCTAATGCCTAATGCTGGCTGAAGCATTGGCATCAGATAAACTCTCTGGCACACGTAGTCTTCTTTATGGTTTGAAAAATGACCCTGATTTCTCTAACTGTGTTTTTTTGTTATGAGGTATTGGTAGAATGGGGAGGACAATTTTTCTGTTTTCACTTATTACTTATTTTGCAGTATGACCTTGAATGGTGGATTTGCTGCTCCACCCTTCCCGTTGTGCTAGGTGTTGCATAGGTGCAGAACAAAAAGACAGTCCTGATCCCAGAGTGGTTCCAAATAAAGCAATTTGTACTTACGGTGTTGATGCTTTGAGTTACATTTGAACAGGTCATTTTGGCTATTGGATTTGTGATATATAAGCTGCTGCTAAATAACATTTTCTGTTTCTTAATTGTTTATCATCTGTAATAGATAATGAACAGTGTTCCTGTGAAAGCAGCTGTTGATATGTAAAGAATCATGCATACAAAGAGGAAAATTATGAATGTGATTCTCATATGTTAAAACAAACAGATATGTATGTCAAAGAAAACTTTGGCAGATGCAGTTCTGAGCTGAGAGGTAGTAGCTGCTGGGTGCTGAAGGAGTAAGTGTTTGGGGCAGGAGTTAAGCTTGTATATTTTTATCCTGCCCCTGTAAATCCCTGTACACCCATGCTGAATCTGAGGACATATCTGTTAAAAAACTGTTTTTTTTCTTTTCTGTTTTTTTTTTTTTTTACTCCTTTGTCTTTTGTTGGTCCATGAGGCACTAGAAGAGGGATTTCATATACTGATGTGGAAGTTTCTCTATGAGAGAAACTGTCTTACTTAATAGATGAAGTGGCTCAAAAGGATAGGCTCTGTCACTACATTGAAAGCGTAGGGACCGTTAGCTTCTAGTCTGCCACAGCACAGGCCAGCTGTAGTGTACCTGTCACTGGAGAAGATGCTGCCTGTTTAATGCTTGTGAGAAAAGGCACAGGTATCTGAACACTATCAAGTTCCTCCTTCTGCCTGGGTGCAGAGCCTGATAGTGTGTCTCATACTGCCTTCTCTGTCCTCTGCATGGGGGAAAAGAGATAGTGCACCTTTTTCCAGGCACTTCTGTCTGGGTGGGACTAACCTTTGGCAACCCAGCCCAAAAAGGGGTGACGAGGACACCTTTCTCACTGGAAGAGAAATCGCTGATGATGAGTTGATCAGCATATATATGTCCTGGGCAGAAAAGTACCCTCTTCTTAGGTTCTATTGAAAGGAGAAAACTCTGTGCGGTGTGGCTGAATGGCTCTGGGATACTCTGCCTCTTGCTTTCAGCACTATGTTTCTCCTTTGCCTTGCCTGGGACTGGTGCTTCCACCTGGGGAACGTCTCCCATCCAAACTACATGGCCCTGTTCTCAGCATTAAGCAAGAGCTAGTACAAACGAACATTGACCTGTATTTTGTCCAGCTGCTTCTCTCCTTAACGCATAGGAGCTCCGCATACAGATTTGGCAAAGTGCAGAGTGCACAAACTTTTCTTTCTTAGTGTCTCTACTGAGTTGTACAGACACCTCAATAATTGCTTAGAGGTGGTTACTATGCTTCATTCAAGGGACTGAGAAAAATGTTTGGGAGTTTTAGCACTTTTCCTAGAGTTTGCTATTAAGTTCTCTTTGAGTCTCACAGAAGATATTTAATTAGGGTCTTTACCACACTTCAGTTTTAATCTAGTTAAAAAGGCTGCAGGTCTTACGGAAGTACAATTAAAATGCAGGATCAGGAGAAGCTGGATGAAATGATTCCTTTATTGATTCCTTGTCTTCATTCCTGTATAATGGACAAGAAAAGCTTAATGTCAGAATTTTAGAGAGCCTCCTCCCTTAGCTCATTCTACAGACACAAATGGTGTACTCTAAATGCTGCTACCTTTCTGTTCTTCCACCTTGGTATTGCTGCATACAGCTAAGGTAGAGTTCAGAAGAAACCCTCAGGATCCGTGCTGAGAGGAGGCCAATTTCAGGCTGTAGACAATAAGCCTCTCCTACAAAACTCAACGTAAGTATTGAGGTCTTAGTGTTGAGCTTCAGATGAGCATCTGGGTTTAGAACACAATCATATATACAGCACTGCTGCCCTGGGTTATGTTACAGAGGGGAAATACAAGTGCTCACACGTGAAGAATAAGCTTTTGTTTTCGTTGGCCTCAATAATGATAGGAGTTCAATGTAAACATGGTGAAAAGGAAGACATGCATGCTTGATATTGAAGGAAAGCTTAGTTTTAACTAATATATTAGAGAAATTGTTCCAGAACACTACATCCTTCCAAAAATAATAACCCTGTCATGTCGGCAAAGTTGGTGTCAGCATGGGTTACCTGCTGCGTACAGAAAGTGCTGGTCATGTAAGTTAGATCTGCCTCGGGGCTAGTCTGACTTGCGCACCTGACCTTTCAAAAATGTTTTTTGTTCATTAATCAATGTTCTTTGCTTCAGCTTGCCAGCTTCATTTCTTTCCCCTCCTTCACTGTCCTCCTTTTTAGTTTGTCAACCTACCTCCCCCAATAACCTCTGACTACATATTAGACAGTGGTTCCTAATAGCTCCAGTTGAATTTTATTTGGCTTTCAGTAAGGTCAGAAAGTCATACAAATCTCTTTTTTTTCCCTTTAAATTATATTGGACAAAAGATGCTTGAATGCTTTGGAGAGGGGTAAAATGCAATTACTGCTTTGAGGGACTCTTTACCATCTTAGGTATAACACCTAAAAGTGTGATCTGAAGGGGACTTGTTTTAGACCCACAATTTTAAGGACATTTTCATATGTTTAATTTATGTAAGGGGATTTTAGTTTTTTGATGGGTTAATGCCCCAGTCAGGCTGTGTGGCTTAGATGAAGCAAGAGCTATTTTGAAGCTTTACCTCTATTCTAACAGAAAATGAACTCAATCTGAGATTCAAAAAATGCAGTAGATGATTAAACACTGGGGTTAAGGAAGCTTTGCTCTTAAAATTTCAATATGCTTTTGCACTGCCTGATTTTTGCCAGGTCTGCAATGAAAGTGAAGTGAGGAAAGGAGAAGACAGGAGTCAGGCTTACTGTGCTCCTAGTAAGGTAGTAGTTGCAATTTCCTTGCAACAATGTCCTTGACAATGTCTGCGTAGATGTAACTGCATCATCTTTACTCAAGACAAATGGTTTTACTAGTACAATTTCCTTAATGCTGTTTCATGATAGCTGAAGTCGTAGTATGGATAAGACCTAAGCAGTCAGTGAATATTTTCATTCATGGTGTATTTAGAAGAGTGACTTATTGCCCCTTAGGATGTGTGTCCTGGCATTACTGCAGTGTAGGCAAATCCAGATTACGTTTTGCAGGGTATTGATCACTTGGAGAGCACATATGGTAAGAGCGCATATTTGCAGTATGCAAACGTCTAATTTTACTCAAAACCAAAAAAGATTTATTTTTATTTTTCTTCTAGTAGGCTTTTCTTAGGTTAATGCAATAAATACATTAAAATAGTTATATTTATATGAAAAAATTATAACAGTAAGACCAAATCATGCACTTTTCACAGTCAAAGCATTCACTGACTTCAATGGAGGAAAAATTGGCATGTGGCTAAAATGCTTCTCTTTTTGAAAAAAACTATTTGTAGCAATAATTTCAATTAATAGGACAAAGTTCATTTCAAGTGTGCGTTTCTAGTGTCTTCTACTAAGAGAAGTGAATTTTAAGGAAAATATTCCTATTTCAAGTATTTGAAGCTTTTAAAGTAAAATGTTAATTTCTGGAAGGCTTTCCAGAAAAATATTGCCTGGTAGGGAAACAGTTTTTGTTTCAAAATGGGAAATTCAGATAGGAAATTTTCAGCTATCCCGCACAGCGCTATGAGCTACTGCAACTGCTTCCAAGTGACCCATAAAAAAAATTCATTAACCGTCTAGTCACTGGGGATGTCACTCCAGCACTGCTGAAGAGAAGTGTGCGCGTGGAGGAGGAGAAACAATTGTGCCAGTATTAGGCTCCCGAAGCTCGATTTTTTTCCCTCCACTCGTGCGACGCCTGCTCGGCAGCGGTCCTTGTGCTGTGCCAGCCTTCCAAAGATGGTACTTCAGCAAAGACATATGAGCTCTAGAAGTCAGCACTGGAGTTACAGATTTTCCCCAATGTACCTGGCACATTGGATTGCACTAAATCAGTGCATATGCATATAAAGCTGCAGTTGCTGACAGAACAATTCACGGATCTGTAGATTTTAAGGAGTATATCAACCAGTTAATATTTATGTATCAGCGTGGCAAGGCACTAGCAATATTATAACAGTAGCTGGTGACCATTTTGTTTTACTTGAGGGAAATTCAATATGAATGAAACAGCAACTTTTCAAACATGACATTTAATCCACGCATGTAAATCATACCAGGAGATCTATTATTCATTATTAAAAGGGCACCATATTTTTATTACACTGAAAATGAAACACAAATGCTGTGAAAA